CATCGAATCTGAATCACTTGAAAAAAACACGGGGGTGCTTAACTTTTTTCCAGGTGTATATATAAATCAATGTAAACAAATTAAGTTTAAAGATAATCTTAATTGAGCCAATTGTGTCTTTGAATACATACTAAAAATGTAAGGTAATACTGAACAACAAGAGCTAATAGCTTCAGATATAAATGTCAGAAATAAACATGCTTTGTTTTGATATCATAAAGTTTGACTTTGATCATTGGATCAAAAATAAACACTGGATCAGAAACAAACTATTTTGCACACATTCAACTGTATTGTATTCATCCATTTGTGTGTAAAATATCAACTTCCATCTTGAGTGTCCAGCCTATTCCTTCAGTTAAGTGTGGTAGGAAACTCAGATGCTGTTTTGTAAAGCTTTTAGTTGGAATGGGTGCTACTCTTGCCATGTAGAATCTCAGTGTAATTGAGAATACCACACTTTTTCAGTTATTGCTCTGACTTTTTGGAAGTATTTCACTTTAATGAATGTATAATAAAGTTAAATGGATTGTTGTATGTAGGTGAGTCATCATCCTCCTGTATCCGCATGCCATGCCGAATCGAAGCACTACACATTTTGGCAAGGTGAGTCAGAAATCACATGATGAGTTGAAGAAAACAGATAAATTACAGATGTACCTATTATTTGCAAGGATTAATACTCTTTTTGAATTTGCTGAAACCTGCTTGAGCAAGTAGTTTTCAGCTGATGTTATGTCTCTCTCTCTCTCATCCTTGATTGTAATGGATCATGTTTTTGTCTTACTACTTAGATTAAGGGCAGTTTTAAAATTACTTCCATGTCAACTTTTCAATCTGTCATCAGAGGGTTCTATTGATATTAATGGAATTGTAGTTTAACTTCATAGTCTGCCACTAGAGGACCATAAAGATACTTTTGGAATCTTAGTTTAACTTCGTAGTCTGCCACTAGAGGACAGTAAAGATACTTTTGGAATCTTAGTTTAAATTCTTAGTCTGCCATATACTGTTGGAATCTTAGTTCCACTTCTTAGTCTGCCATTAGGTGACTGTACAAATACTGTTGGAATCTTAGTTCCACTTCTTAGTCTGCCATTAGGTGACTGTACAAATACTGTTGGAATCTTAGTTCCACTTCTTAGTCTGTCATTAGGTGACTGTACAAATACTGTTGGAATCTTAGTTCCACTTCTTAGTTTGCCATTAGGTGACTGTACAAATACTGTTGGAATTTTATTTTAACTTCATAATAGGCCACTAGGTGAACATACAGATACTGTTGGAATTTTATTTTAACTTCATAGCCTGCTGTTAGATGACCATATAGATACTGTTGGAATCTTAGTTTAACTTGTTGGTCTGCCACCAAAGGATTGTTTTAAAGAGTACTGTTGGAATCTAGGTTTAAATTGCCAATTTGAAACCAGGGATTCCTAAGGATACTGTTGGATTCTGATTATATAATGCAAGGTCTGTTTAATTTAAAAAAACTGAGAAACTGTATTCCTTATAGCTTAAATGAAATTCAAAAAAGCTTAATGGTGGGTGGATAAACTCCATAAAATTAAACCAGAAAACTAGTGAGTGTTCAGAACAAATATACAAAACAGAGTAAAATGGTTGAAAATATTTTGAAAGTTTTGTGAGTAAATGTAAAACATTTAAAAGCGTGGAATGAAAGTAAAAGTCCTAGTTTTTGGAAAACCCTAGTTCTAATTTGGGTAAAGTGTTGAATAATAGTGAATAACAAAGGAAATGAAAGAGGTTCAATTGGTTGAAAATTTTGAAAGGAAAAAATTAAGTGATCAGTATTTTTATCAAACAAGCTTCATTGCTTCAGTTATTGTCATTTGGACAAATTATTTATCTTGTTGCTGTTCTTCTTAGAGCAATATTAATGAATTTGTATATTTGCAGATAAAATGAATGGCATAATTTAATCTCTAGCAGTAAAGACAGCCTTCCTGGCTGAGTTTTTGTGGTAGCCCGAAACAATGATAATGGAAGAAAGACATTTTTCTTACATCTAATATTGTTTGTTATTTGATTTATAGTTGATCATGAAGGTAAACAAGAGGGAATCCTCAATAGCCTCAGCTCTTGAAATTCTTTTAGGCAGAATTAGAGTAAATTAATTTATAATACTTTTTTTTTTTCCTTTTTATTAGCTATATTTTTGTGCACCAGCAGTACCGAGTGTGGGGCACTTGTATACACGATTCAATTTTATTAATCATCAGGATCTTTACCAGCCTACCCTCAAATTGAAATTCTTCTTTTAGGCATGATCAGAGTAAATTAATCTATGAGATCTTGGTCATGATCAAATGCATCAGGCAAAAGGGTTTGACCTTCTGAGTCCAAAACTGGAATTAGATCTCAAATCGGTCAAGAGGTGATCTAAAAGTTTGTACTTAAAAAAACTTGGAGTCATTCTATGAGCCACTATGCTGCGGCTAAAAATTAAGGGAAATTATGAAGTTTCAGACAATTAAAAAAAAACTATTTGTTTCAGTTCTATGAGCATAATAGCTAAGGTTGTTTATCAGGAAATGTTGATTAGTCTTCTTTAGATTTAGAAAAATTTAATGTATAGATTATTACTTCTAGACGTAAAGATGCTGTTTGGTTTACTAATAGGTTTTGTCCTGTCTGTAGTAAAGTACTGTTTTCCACTTTACTCATATGTTTGTTTATTTTTTTTTGTGATAGTTTCAAACAGGGCATATCTAAATTCTGATGAGGATATGGTTAGCTCTTGTTTTAAATAATTACAGATTCTATCAGCTCCTTTGTTAAATGTATACAGATTTTAATATTGTGCTTGATGTTAAACAGTTTTGAGCACACTCTTAGTTTAAAAAAGTATTCAGGTATCAAAAAAAATATTGAAAGTGGTTTATTAGAGAATTTAGGAGATGTGCGTGATTTAATTAAAGTGTAAAGGATGACTTTTTGATGGATTTAATGTGTTCACAGTGACTGTTGTATTTAAAATTTAGAGTATGAGTATGGGATCTATTAAAAGTATGAAGGGTAGCTGCCTGATCTATTAAAGTTATGAAGGATGGCTATTTGATGTATTAGATGTATGAAGGATGTCAATTTGATCTATTCAAATTATGAAGGATAGCTATTTGACGTATTAGATGTATGAAGGATGTCAATTTGATCTATTAGATGTACAAAGGATATCAATTTGATATATTCAAATTATGAAGGATGGCTTTGTGATGTTTTAAAAGTATGAAGGATGTCAATTTGATCTATTCAAATTATGAAGGATAGCTATTTGACGTATTAGATGTACAAAGGATGTCAATTTGATCTATTAGATGTACGAAGGATATCAATTTGATATATTCAAATTATGAAGGATGGCTTTGTGATGTTTTAAAAGTATGAAGGATGTAAATTTGATCTATTAAAGTTATGAAGGATGGCTATGTGATGTATCAGATGTATGAAGGATGTCAATTTGATCTATTAAAATTATGAAGGATGGCTTTGTGATGTTTTAAAAGTATGAAGGATGTCAATTTGATCTATTAA